TAAAACGATGTATTTATATGTAGTTGGATGTGGTGGATCGAACAACTGAGTTTGTTATTCAAGCACCTTCGGATATGAATTGATCTGTTAAGTAGCATTTCAGAGTATTCCAGAAATGATTGAAGGTGATATGGGCTTGGGATTCGCCTTACAGGTAGCCGCTTCCCTCTGGAGCCGAATCGCATAGTGCTCGGCGGGATGTCCCGCACATCACGCTCCTTCAACACGAGCCTGCGTGATGCCCTGATGGCACAGGCCTCTTCAGTCGGTCATCTCACCACCATCCCTCCCTGCTCCACCAACGGCGTGAGGGGTACAGAGGCTGGGGTTGGAAGCAAACGTTCCACTCTGGTGGAGAGTGAAGCAGCTTCGCTGGAAGCGCGTCGACTCGCCAGTTTCCCTTCTGGTCAGCCGCCAGACGCCACCTCGGTACCCGCCATTGAGCGCTACGATTGGCCGGCGCCAGCCTCCACTGCTGTTATGACTGCTGAACTCAGTACGTTTTTACACAAATTTAGCTCTTACTCCACTCATGAACAAAATTTTTTTCTTTAAACTACTTGACTTTTTAACATTCCAAAATCCCATTTTATTTTGCAAAATATTATCATGATTTCACTTCTATAACAGATTTAGCGAGCATCATTCAACATTAACTTAAAGTAGAGATAAATCTTAATGGACAAAAAATGAGGAATTCTTTTCGTTCCAACCATTTTTCGTCAGAAGTAAAGACCGTCATTTCTTGAAATTAGATCCACAGAAATTCAACACTTTATTATTGACTCAGTGTTTGTGGCTTGCTTTCTAGCCAAAGGTGGGGTAACAATATTCAATTTATTCTATACAACTGCCATACGTTTGATACTCTTATATCTTATTTCGTTTCCATAGAATGATATCAAAAACTTGCTCTTTATTATTATTGTGCTGACTGCCAACTCTTGTCCGTCATTTTGTGTTATCTTGTCCTTAAACTGCGCGCCGTCGTTGGTCTTGTTGTGGAATTTGGATAAAGTGGGTTTCGTTTCGTGAATTTGCCTT